GCATCTATGGAGGTGGGGATGGTTTCTGCCCTATGGTGTAATGTCCTGATGACTCCTAATTTGTTCTGCAGGGGATGGTGGGAGTCAAACTGGTCTGTGTGTGTGTGGGTTTCCTGTAAATCCCTATTTCTAGCTTGCCACAGGTCCCAATTAGAACCTCACAGTCTAGAAATGCCAGCCTGTTGTCCTTGGTGTCTTCCCTGGTGAACTTGATGTTTGAGTCTATGGTGTTTATATGGCCTGTGAAGACCTGTACCTCCTGGACTCTGATTTTAACCCAGGTGTCATCCACATACCTGAACCAGTGGGTTGGTGCCATTCCCTGGAAAGAGCTGAAAGCTTTCTTCTCCTATACATTATTTTTTTAAATATTGAATAAATTATGTTTAAAATTAAGTTAGGAGTTGGGAGTTGTTGTACATCAAAATGCCAAGATGGAAACCAGAAGAGGAGTGACCAACAGGTGAAGGTGAAGTGATCTGGTAGTTAGTTCAAAAAGAAGAGAAGGGGGCATAAAGAGAAATGATAGCACTATGGAATGGTGTAATAGAAGATAAAACCATGGCGAGAAGAAGGTTTCCCAGGAGATATGTGATGACATAGATATGAGAAACAAGGCTCTGATACAGTAGAAAACAGAATTAAAAATAAATGAGTTTAAAAAACAAATTCAACTCTCCCTTGAGTCAAGTTTAACTCCTGGTGATTACTTGGACCTGCTCATGTTGTTTTCTTGGAAATAAAGCAGACATGGCTTGCCATTGCTGACTTTCTGATCCTTCCTTTTCCTTCCTTCCTTCCTTCCTTCCTTCCTTCCTTCCTTCCTCTTTCTTTTTTCCAGCTTCCTATCCTATCCTACTACAATGTCTCTCCTATCCAAATTCCAATTAGCTTTTTCCAAGATCAGCCAAGATTGATGTTCTATTGAATTTAATAAAACACAAAAGGGTTTTCCCTAGTAATTTTAGCTGGATTCTGTTGGTCTAAGGGTAGCACCATGTGTTTCAAATGTGATACAACTGATATGCCATAATCTATCACATTTTATATATAGGTAGTCCTTGATATACGACCACAATCAGGACCAGAACTTCCATTGCTAAGCAATGCAGTCATTAAATGAGTCATGCCCGATTTTACAACCTTTTTTGCTGTGACTGTTAAGCAAATAACTGTGGTTGTTAAGCGAATCCAGCTTCCACTATTGACTTTGCTTGCCAGAAGCCCCCTGGAAAGGTTGTAAATAGTGATCACATGACCCCAGGATGCTGCAACCATGGTAAATACATGCTGGTTGCCAAGTGCCCAAATTTTTATCATGTGACTGTGGGGATGCTATGACTGTTGTAAGCACAAAGACTGGTCATAAGACACTTTTTTCAGTGCTGTCGTAACTTCAAATGGTCATTAAATGAATGGTCATAAGTCAAGAACTACCTGTAGTTGCACAAAATGAAGCTTTATTTGTACATAGAGCAGAAATTTCATGCAATTCACTTTTTAGTATTTGTTGTAATCTGGGTCTTACATGCACACCATACGGCACACTAGCAAAGTGATTTTTGTGTTTAGCTGTAGTTACCACGTACCGTAATGTTTTTCTTCATAGGAACCAGTAGGGCTTTTAGGACTGTCTTCCCAGTTTTAATCATGCTTTGTGAACAATGACAGGAAAACTGTAATTTTAATCACCACAGTAAACATATCTTTTCAATGTTTATTTGCATAAATATTCAAAGCATATGTATGTATGTATGTATGTATGTATGTATGTATGTATGTATGTCTCAGGCTTACATATCAGACTCATTAGCCATTGACTGCTCCAAAAGGCTTGAAGGGGTGATAAAACATGAAAATTCTCTTTAGAGAATGTTGCAATTCTTTGAAAGATTCTTTTCAGCAATACAAGGTACCATTACACAGCAAAAGTCTGATCGAAGAGTCCCAGACTGGAAAGAACATCCAGGAGAAAGAGTAAAGTCAAGTGGCAGAGATCCTGCAACTTCTTCCATGTATCCAAAAGAGAATTGGGCATTTCTTAAAAAGCAGCTGACCTCCACAGCACATAGCAAGTCACTTTTGGATCTGAAAGGATATCTGATATCAATTTAACTTTGGAGGGTGGTGGGTAGGTGTGCCTGAAGCAGTTCATCATAAGTCAGCAACCTTCCATTAGATGCTGTGATGGTTCAGAGGGTTTTACATGGCAGAAAAATCCCTTTGAAGTATTAGGAATTAAAGAATGAATCATCCTGAAAGGGTCTCTCTGTCAATAGCATTTTAGTTCCTTTGAATACCAGAGCGCTCTGCTCTTCTTTCAAAATCATTCTAAGGAGCTAAAGGTCAGCTTGGATTAGCAGTACTCCAATATCCTTCTTGTGCCAGACTTATACTCCTGTCTTTATGAATGCATGTACCACCCACTGGACTCCATGGAATATACTTCCTAATCAATGTGATAGGAACACAGGGACAGGGACAGAAAAAATTAAGGTGGCAATCTATCCCACTGTTTTTGACACCAGCAGAAAAATATTCCAAATACACTGAAAAAGCCCTTTTAATTGGTTTTGAGTTAGTTGGTCAGCCCTCAGCTGCTGCCATAGACTCTAGCTGCTTTTTCATAATAATTTTGTATTCAAAACATGTCTATCAGCATTTCTTCATGAGAATTACATCCTGCTCCTAAAAGAATGTTTATTTGGATTCTGATACGGCTTAGTTCCCAGTAATCCTAGGCAAGCTTACTTGGAAGTATCCTATATTGATTGCCATGGCATTTGCTCTTCATGAGGCTGAAGCTTTAAAGCATCACATTGATCTGCATTTTCCCCTCCACTCAGTTTGTGACAAAATCCTCACTGGACAATTCACAGCACTGAACATGACAAGATGTGGGCTTTCTTAGGGACTCATGCAGCAGTTGAACCACGTACGTGATGGCAGCACAAGATTCACTATAGGTTCTCAAGTTTTAATGAGCTGCAACAACCTGGAACAGGCTTTGTATTTTTGATTAAATCAAAAGCTTGAATGAACATTTATTCCCACAAGTACTTTTTAGCACATGAGCATTGGGGAGAAACAAAAATCCCACCCCTGTGCAATCATCTGATTCACCACAAATTTGTACAATGAATAAGTGCAGCTATTAATTGAATTAAGAAGCTTTTAAAACTCAACAAAATGTTTGCCAGGATCCAAGATGAAAAGAAGGTAATCTTTCTCTTCTTTCCTTCCTTGTTACCCAAATTAAGTCTAGACATACAGCAAACCAGAATATCAGGGAGAAAAGTTTGAATAAAATATTTTTTTTTTCTGTTTAACAAAAAGTTAGTCCTCCAACTAACATTGTTGAATGTTAGTTCCCCAACTTTCCAGAGCTGATTTGGTGACTAGCTGGAGGTGGAAGGAGGAAATTCCTTGCATTGGCAATCACTCCATCAAGAAACTCAAGCTTTCCAGAAACACTAGTCTTTCTCATCAGGCACACTTCACACCACGTCTTCCAAACTGAGTTGTCAAATTCTTTTGTTAAGTTTTACATTTTTAAAAATTAAGATTTTCAGAAATAACAAACCAGGGACAATGCCTCTACTATCTCTACAAATGTTATGTGTGTCAGGAAATGCTGTGAGCTGATATTCCTTTGTGGACCACTACAGGTAGCATAGTTTTTCTCCCAATTAATGTAGCTAAGCAATTTAGCACATGGCATGCAGCCCTTGGTTTATATGGAATAATACAAAAAGCATATGGTTCTGCTCAGGTCCACTTCAATCTTCAGAAAGTTAGTGGATAAAATTAATTATTTATTTGTTATATGTGTATGTTGCCTTTTATCCAGGAGCTCAAGGTGGCTTTGATATGGAACTCCCTTCATTTCATCCCCACAAGAAAAGTCTGCAAGGTAAGTTAGGCTGAGACTCCCCCATTGAGTTTCCATGACTAAAGATGGACTTAGACCTGGATCTCGCCATTCTTAATCCATCTCCTTAACCACTACACCACAAACTATATTCAGCAACTAATTAAAGTGATATGCAATTTGTTGTGTATGTATATACGCATCTCATGCAAGTCCTCAGTCCACATTACATTTACCTACAATAAGAAGAGAGAAAGAGTGGTGTACCACAGTCACAAGAAGTAGAACATTACAACTCAATTGTGACACAATTGCTATTTAATGTAATGATATGTAAAGCAGCCCCTATCGTATGTACAATAATGATTAAATATTGTAATTTTAATGTGAATTTTAACAAAACAGTGCAATTTGCTTTGAAAAAATGACACACTACCATCTGACCAATGAAAATCCAGCAAACCAAAAATATTTGACAAGTCTAGACAGTTGGATTTTCTCTTCAGTTTATGTCAGGAAAAAGTAGAATTAGTCCCACCAAATTAAAAGGAAATTCTGGCACAAGTTTTCAGCTTACTACAGCTGTGTGCTGGAGCCAGTTATACCAGCTTGTGAGAGACAATTGTTGAATTTTCTGGAATTTTCCATGCTGGTTGACAGCAGAGCAGAGCTGAGCCAAGCCAAGAGGCCTAACACACCAATGGCTGTTTGGCAGCTAATAGCACAGTGTGGCAGCAGCAATGGAGGTGGTAGAACCGGTTGTTGTACATTTATTATTTATTATTTCTTTATTCCTTTGAATTTATTAGCCGCCCAATTCCAGTGGACTCTGGGCAGCTACTTTACTATCATACCACTGGTTTTGATATCAAGTGTCTTGTTCATTTATTAAAAATATTTTAGCCTATTATTCATGGTAGATTCAGAACAATGTGCAAGAGACATAAAAACAAAAATATATCACAATACAATGTAGTAACAAAAAACTCATGAGAAAAATAATGTAAAATCATAACAATAATAAAATAATCTAATTGAAAGGCACTGTATTTTTCAGTAGGTATTGATGACATTTAACATTGTTAATATATCTGTTTCAGCCAGGAAGCCACTACCTATGGCTAGCCCTAAAAGGAGCTGAAATCTCTCTTGTATTTCTTAGATAAGCACAAGCAACTTATATTTCTGCTCCAGAGCAATGAGAAAATACAGTAATCCTTGATTGTTGATCTGGAATAATCAAAAGCAAAGCAAAAGAAAACACAAACATAAAGCCAAAACAAGAAAGCTTCATTATTATGAGAGTAGAACAACAATAAATAAAAAACAATATTTTGTTATATTTGATTAAGCAATGTGACCTAATAGGCAGAAGAGTCTGCTAAAAGGTGGTTTAGCTGATACCTAGAAAACTAATGAGGGCTTACTTTCTCTTAGGAAGTTGCAGCTGAGGACAGAGATCTAAGTTTTGCAAAAAGATGATCAAAGCTAATAGGAGTTGGCCACAGCCTAATGTTCAAGGATAGATTCCTGGTGAACCCAGAGATCAAGGCAAACAAAAATCTTCTTGCAATAGATAGCATACAGAATGTGTTGATGAGCAAGATACACTGATGGCTTTCCAATTAACTGGAATTAAAAGGGAAGTGGATAAATTAGGGTGGATAATGTGATCAGTGGCTCTTTGGAGTCTTGAGATTTAGTTGCACTGAATATAGTTGTTGGGGAGGGGGCAACAGGACGGAAGGGTTATCGATGCCCTTTTTCTGAGCTTTTGCTGAGCCATTGTGCTCTTCTGATGCTCTTATGAAGTCGTAGATCTTTGCTTCTGGGTTTTTCCAGGCTCTCTTTTTGATTATGATAAAAATCCAGCAGAATAAATCCTGTCCTTACTATTTGTGCAAGACTGGCACATGCAGGATTAAACATTTTTTCTGTTAAAAAATGCCTTGCAGTGCTCTTTAGCTAAATTCAGAGAGACTTCAGTTCCAGCACTTTCAAGCTGGATGTATTTGGTATGTCTCATGACTGTTTTCACAGTCAAAATTGCAAGAGATTACAAAAAAGTTTAATAATTATGGCTTATTATCTGAACGCCTAAGATACGGAGCCCTCATTAAGTCTTCCATGGAGCACTGCTGTTTATTCCTTTTGGTTGTCTGAAGATCCACATGTCTTCCTAGTCATTTGCACAATGCCATCTGCAATGAACATGAACTGTAAATAAGCATTTCTGTGCCATTAACAGGAAGAATGCTAGAGATGCTCTTCACAACAGGGAAGTAAAGATTTTTATATCTTTTTTGGTTGCTGTTAAATAAAAAGAAAACTATGATTCTGCTATGGCAGGGAGTAGGCATGCTCTAACCTTAGCTTCTTTCCAAGCACTCTGGTATTCTGCAATCCAATCACGACTTGTGACTTTCTGATCAATATGGAAATACTCCACCCAGCCATTTCTGTTATCTGCCTCTCCCTTCAGAGGTTGTTTATAAGTAGAAGAGCTCAGGTGCTCTTTTTCAGGACATACTGGTGTCTTCAGACCCTGCTGCCCTCTTTGTGAAGATCGCCAAATCCTGGCACTCAGTGGTGCTTCTCTGGGGGGATGCAGCCAGATTGATTTACCATTAACAAGAAGAGGGTTTGGATTCGAGCTGCTTTCCAAAGTGGGCACCTTGTCTTGGTTGTAAATATATTTTCGCTCCTGGCCGCTATTTTCTCTTTGCAATGGTCTTGGAGAAGGGTGCCGTGGTAAGCCAGTCCCATATTGTTTTTTGCTCATTTTTTCTTGAGAGGTGACTACACAGGTGCTATGAAAGTTGGACTGTGTGCAGTCAGTTCCTGTGTTCTCACTGCCAAGAGGACATTTCCATCCACAAGTCTTCTGTGCTTCTGCATACAGCTCTTCTAATGTGTTCATGCCAGAAGAGGAGTAGGTTTTGATACAATCAAGAACGAAACTGTTCTGTTCTAATGACATCACTTTAGGAAGAGTGCATCTGGAAACCATTTTTGGTGGCTCAGGCAAGTTTAAGATTCTTCGACGGTTGTGCAGCATTCCACATCTCTCTTTGTCTTGGAGCTGCTGCTTGCTTTCTAGTGGTCCTGGAAAAGTAGATCTTGCCAGCTGGCAATTAGCCTGACAGCAGTCTTCACCTGAACAAGAATCTGGATTCATGTAAACATTTCCAAAACCAATTGCGTTGCTTGTTATATCTTCTAGGATATCCTCAAAGGCTTCACTGATAGTTGGGAGAGGCTTTGCTAAGTTCAGCCTTATCCGGGGAGCCATTGCTGAAAAGAATGTGCAGGATATCATTAACTAATGTGAATGTATCACAAAGATATTACTGGAACCATTACATTTTGTAAGCAATAATTACATTAATGTAAACCTTCTTCTTAAATGAACTAATTTTATTTAGAATAAGCCTTTGCCTTATTGTTTTTTTTTTTTACAGAATTTTATTCTGTATTAAGTCTTATTCTTTTCTTTTTTGCTTATTACACAGCTTTTTTACAGGATACCCACACACTTGTCTTTTTTATATGCATGTGAATATATGCATTTCCTTCAGTCTGGGTTATCGCTTTTTCCTCTGTCTCCAGGAACATTTCTCCTTCTCTTAAAACTGGGTAGGTAATTTTATTGTAATGGGGGGCAGGGTAGCATTTATGTACATTTTTCAGCAGGCGTGTGATTCAGGGGCAATATGCCATGACACCAGGTTTCTGAAGAACATTCCCACTTAACAATCTCATGTTTTGCCACTGCCTTTTAGAGAAGCCAACAGTGTGATGCCACTGGCTGAACCTGGTTTCCCAGATTTATTCTATCAGTAATATCAAGCTCTAATTTTATTATTATGAGCTACTAAAAAAAAAATCATTACAGTTGAACATATTTTTACATGTAAGAAAGAAATGATTTCATCCATGGTCCTGACATGTATCCCACAACCTGCTTCTGCGCTACACCCATTCTTTAAAAGTTGAAATCCAACATTTTTAAGGGAGCAACGTTTCTCCATTTCTGATTTTGTCCTAATATCCTTCAGTGCCCTAACACACACACACACACACACACACACACACATCCTT